AGGACTAAAAGGCAGTTTACATTTTTGAATGAAACTTAGACACACATTTATGGCTTTTTATCTGATCTCCAGACTTGGTATCTTTTTAAATTTTTTAAAAATTTTCTTTCCTTCCTTCCTTCCTTCCTTCCTTCCTTCCTTTCTTTCTCTCTTACCTTTTTTTTTTTTTCTGAGATAGGGCCTCATAATTTGTCCAGGCTGGCCTCAAACATGCTAGCCTCCTGCCTCAGCCTCTGAGTAACTGGGATTATAGGCATGAGCCACCATATCTGGGAATTGGTGTCCTTTGAAGTCAGATTTCCCCAGCCCTCTCTGGAAGTCCTTGCTACCTTTAGGTTGTTCCAACAGAAACTCCTCTGGGGACATCTGCAGTAACCCTATTCCCCGTCCTTGGCAATGACTTGGAACAAATTGGGAGGATGAATTTGCTGATGTAAATGAAAACTGACCCCAGTGTTAACAGCTACCGTCTAGGTGTGGTCTTCCTTTTGGGTGTGGGAGAGGAAATTTGCTAGGACTTGGCAAAGAGGGTTCTGCTAACTACCAGTGTCTGAATCTCCAGGGTGGTGTGAAGAGCTGAAAAGATGCGGATTCCTGGGATTCACGTCTTATCTTAGTGAGCTGGAATTTTCTTTTTTTGGTGTTGGGGCGGGGTACCAGGGATTGAACTCAGGGGCACTCAACCCCTGAGCCACACCCCCAGCCCTATTTTGTATTCTATTTAGAGACAGGGTCTCACTGAGTTGCTTAGGGCCTTGCTGTTGCTGAGGCTGGCTTTGAATTCGCCATCCTCCTGCCTCAGCCTCCTGAGCTGCTGGGATGACAGGCGTGGGCCACTGCGCCTGGCTGAGCTGGAATCTTTTGAAGGTGGGTTTGGATGAGGACTTCTAAACCTTCCAGATCATTCTTCTGCAGTGTAAGGGTTGGGAACTCTTCCTTAGTGGCTATGCATTGCCATTCAATTCTTCTAGTAAACTAGGGCTGGGGAATTTTTATTCCAAAGGATTATTGAGAAATTGGCTATATTTTTTTGATCTTTATAGGAAAATAGAATTGATTTCATTTTCTAAGAATTAGTTCCTTATTGTCTTTCTCTGTCATTTTTTCCTTTATTTGTCTGGCTCATTCTTTTACTCCCACTCCCTCCTACTCTTTCTGCCTCTTCTCCCTGTGTCAATCTCTCTTTTCTGTGTGTCTCTCTCTCTTGCACACACATGACAAACACTTTAAATTCGAGTTTCTCCATGGGATTCTAACTCTGGAAACTTTTTTTGTTGTTCTCTTTGATAACATGGAGGGAAAAATATTTAAAAGGAATATGAGGTGGTGCACACCTGTAATCCCACTGACTCTGGAGGCTGAGACTGGAAGATCGCAAGTTCAAGGCCAGCCTCAGCAACTTAGTGAGATTCTGTCTCAAAATGAAAACAAAACAAAAAAAGGAACTGGGAGTATATCTCAGTAGTAGAGCACCCTGGGTTTAATCCCCAGAACCAAAAAAGGAATCTGAATTTATAGATAGGGAAATAATTCTGTTTTTATTTAATAGGGAAATAGAGTCATAGAGAATTTAATAACTTGCTCATATGGTCTATGCGTTGGAACTAGGATTTGAATCTTGCTAAAACTGATGCTAAAGTCTAGGCTCTAACCATTGGGAGACACTGCCCCTTAGGAAGAAGGAATGAGAAATCACCCTCTCTCATACTTCGTATTCCTAAGTAAGCAAGCTTCAATCACAAGTATATACACATCCAGAAAGAAACATAAGAGGAACGAAGACCGTCCCTATCTAGGAAGACTTCCGTGCCCCTTACAAAACTTCTTAGACAATGTCTCATGGTAACTAATCTTTGAAAGCCAAATTGTCCACCACCGATTGCCAACTAAATACAAAGTAGTTAGTACCCAGGCTGTAACACTATGAATTTGCAGTCAACATCCAAAAATCAGAAGAGCTTATACAAAAGCCCAGATCTCTAACACCTCTTGAAAAATGGGGCCTTAAGTGCTAAGTGGTAAAATTGGGGCAGAGTGGTAGCTGTTCTCTTTAAACCAATCAACCACAGTCCCCACCACTCCCTATTGCCCCATGACCAGGCTCCTTCATTCACGTAGGCTCCCTGCCTGAGTCCTGCAGTACTTGGACTTGGTGACCCTTGGCCTGGGTCCTCACATGTTTTATAGTGGGAAACCCTAACCCCATCCCCTTGTAAAGGGGTGCTAGCATTAGTTCTAAGGCAAATGCTAAGTACTGCCTTTGTTTCTGTGCATACCAGAAGGGTCACATTGTTGTGGAGGTCGTGTGCAGTTGTGGTGAAGAACAGCATGAAGAACACACACTCAAGCTCTAACACACTCACATCCTGTTTCCCACTAATTAGCTATGGAAATTTACACAAATCCCTTCATCTCTGAGCCTCAGTTTCCTTCTCTGAAAAATGGGGATAATAATACCTACCTCTTTGGATTGCTGTGAGGCTTCAACAAGGATTAATCTATGTAAGTGTTTGGAATGGTGTCTGACAAATGACAAGGTCAATACCAGTGTGGACTGCTATTATTATAACCCTCTTAGCTCACGCTCTGATCTGGGCAGTGAGTATTTCCCTAATCCTCAGGAGTTTAGCCAAGACTTGGTCTCATTCCCTGGGAACACCGTCCTTTGAGTGTGAGTCACAGATACAGAGCCTTGAACTCTGTTTAATGGCATTTTATATCCTGGGGTCCTCATTATCCATAATGTTGGTGATAGTAGTAATAACGGGCATCATGAATGGTCAGCATTTTTAGTGTACCACTTAAGAAACAGACAGCAAACTCCACAAATTCTGTGGGTCAATCTAATTAACTTTTACAATAGTTTTATGAAATGAAATGGGTACTATTACAACTCCCATTAGGCAGATGAGGAAACCGAGGTTAGGAGAAGTTAAACAAATGGCTGAAGGTGAGTCAATGCTAAGAGAGGGCCTGGGATCAGGCTGATCTGCACCACTGATCCTGTACTCCATGATGCACGCGTGTGCATGTGCATACACACACACACACACACACACAGCATGTTGTGCCTTCTTTAAAGGATAAAGTCAGGAGGGTCCACAACTGTTTCCCAACCGTCTTCCTCTTCATGGGCCCATATCATAAACTTTCAATCAATTAGACCCTATTGACATCCGTGCCATCAAAGCAAGAAGCCTTGAGCTTCCTGTGTCCATGTCCTTTTCTCCCTTTTGGGGGCAGAGCCACCTATTTTTTCACTTGGGACAGTTTCTGTCTTGACGTCACCCCCTCCATCTGGCCACTGACTGCTCCTAGTTCTGGCATGTCCGATAGGAAGTTGGTCCACTGTGACATCCGCTGCTCTCTTGGTTGCCAAGGTCAAGCTGGCTGATCTGGCGGGATGAAGGATGCCTACTTCCTCCCTCACCCACCCAGATGAGCTTCTCTAGTCAACTGAGCCAAGGAATCGCCCTGCCCAGCTCAAGGGGCAAAGTGCATGGGGTCAAGGATATAGGAAGACTTAGTTGTACCTCTCCGGCAGAAACTTAAAGAATTTCTCGGCATTCTTATCTGTATCACCAGAATTTACCCCCGCTAGACACAGATGGATGTGGACTTGTAATTTTTGGGTCTGGGTTGTCCATCATACCCCCTCGTCCTCTTTCAGAGCTCTAGTGGAAAGAGTCATTGATTCTAGCAGATGGAGCTTAGCTCAGCTCATTGAAGAAATCAGAAGAAACGTGTCCCAATTAACAGCCTCCATCTCTTTATGAGATCAGGGCTCATCCCTGATACCCAAACCACACGTGGTTCTTCTGGCCCTTAAACTAAGAATCACTGGGCTAGTTTAAGGCCACATCACACAGGAAATCATCTTACAGATCATGTGGTAATGCAGATCAAGGAGCACTCCTAAATACACCATGAACTCCCAGGCATTTCCCACCCTGTCACGGTTAGATGGGACTGTGTGACTGGTTTTCTTCGTCTAATGGTGAGCCTGAGTGACATTTGTGACTCCCGGACTTCTGCCATGAAAAGTCCACATGAGGTTCTCTGATCCTCCTCCTTCTCCCTGTCTCAGCCTGAGGATACACCATGTTCTAGATCAGAGGACCACAGACAAGATATCTTATTTTCATAAATAAAATTGTAGTGGAACACAGCCACTCGCTCATTTGCATACTGCACTTGCTCATTTGCATATTGCCCAAGGCTCCTCTTGTGTTAGGATGGCAGACTCAAATAGTTGTATCCGAGACAGTGACTGGGACCATAAAGCCTGCCAGGCCTAAAATATTTAATACCTAGCCCTCTGTAGATAATGTTTGTCGACCCCTTGTTCTAGAAAAACCCAGTTCTAGTGGACGAGGACCCACCCCAAGATGTGGTGAGACTCAAGAGAGAGGCTGGAATTGCAAAGGGTGAAATTTATTAGGGTTCTTGCTGATGGAAGCATCATCCGGGGTGGCAGCAAGAGAGTTGAATTCTCACAATTTGGTCAGAAAGAGGGTGTATGGGTTAGGACAAAACGGACTCCAACCTGGCTAGAATGTATCTGGTTTATCTTAAGATCAAAGATTCAGGTGCATCCTTGGAGCCAGAATCTGGTTTTAAAGCTCCTACATACCACTCCGATGGTTTTGTCTATTTATAGTTGCTGGGAAATTATGCAGGACAAACGACTAGCATTATTCTGGGCAATCGTGGTGGTTACAATTCAAAAAGACAGTGGTCATGACAAGCTGAATCCAGTCACCCACTTTTCTAGGTAGGATAGCTGCAGGGTGGTGGAGCTGGGTCATCCTGGGGCCCTGAATGACTGTGTGGAGGAGAGACCTCCTCCTGACAACATGGTCCGGGGTCACATGAAGCAGATAGGAAATGCCTTTTGTTTTGAGTTGTTTGTTACTGAAGCGGACCCTAACCCATCCTAGCAGGTGCCAGTGGGCAGTCAGGAGGAGGCGTTCCCATGGGGAGGGATTCAGAAGGCCTACTTACTTCCTCGAGAAGTGCACAGCACAAGAGACGCCGATGATCAGAAGGCCGATGACGATGGATGCGATGGCTACCCACTTGGCATTCCTCCCCAGCCGTCTGGCTCCTTCCAAGTCTCCTTCGTTGTAGCTGTTCAGAGACTGGGGGACACAAGGGAAGAGCTGGTGACATCACACACCCACAAGGCCTGAGGATTCGCAGGCTGTCCTGATCAAACGTCTCTAGGAGGTCTCGGTGACTCTGCTCCTCTCAGCTCTGGGCTGCGGAGCACACAGCATGGTTTGCAAGTCCTCTGGGAAAAGCCTCCCCTCAACTCCAAGGTAGAGTCAACCACCCTCTCTGTATTTCCTGATTGCTTTCATCTTAGCATGTCCCAGAGACTTCTAAAAGGATTGATTTTGTCTCTCCCATGGGAATATTATGACTATGTGGGCAGGAACCCGTTGTCTAATTTGTTTAGCACCATATACCAGTGCCCAGAGGAACACTGGCCACGTAGAATATGCTTGGCACACGTTTGTAGGATGATAGGATGAAGGGGGACATCTGTCTTGTCCACTAGCACCAACTATGCAAACTAGGACCCATGAGCCCAACCCAGTCCTCTGCCTCTTTTTATAAAAGTTTGCTTGGAACATAGCCACATCCATCTGTTTACTATTGTCTGTGACTATTTTGATTAAATAGTTGGGACACAGACTGTAGGGCTTGTTAGGCCTCAAATATTTGCTATTTGGTCATTTATAATAAAACTTCACCTGTTTCTGCATGAGAAGGGCAGTCCCTGAGGTCAGGGACTTTGATGGAATGGACCACCTCTATGCCCAGACCAAGCCTGTCATTCAACCGATACCTACAGGTAGAGCTTTCCCTATTAAAAGGTTGCACTAAGCTTTGTCTCCTTTCCCCAATGTCCTGTCTATCCCGCCCCTCCTCCGTATCTCCATAATCCAGCATGTTATGGGTTATTACTGGGCTCAGAGGAACTTCTTTCTGATTCTGTGTTTGTGCCAAACTTGTTAAATATTTAAATGTTGCCTCTGTTGCTCTTTGAGCAGTGTCTGGCATAGGGTAGGAGCTCAAGGTATCTGTATGGATTAAATAGAGGTACGGACATGGCAGTTGCCCTGCAGAATGTGCGTGCCTCGAGGGCATCTTGGAGTTCTCTGAGCTAGCCCGGGGCAGGCCCAGAGAAGGTGCTCAAGAATCCTTGCAGCTCAGCTAAAGACCCAGAACTATTCATCTCCATGACAATAAGCCCTCTTTGTTTTTTTGCTAAGAATCACCCCAAAGTTGAGCTGCAGCTTAAAGAAGTCTGACATATTTATTTAAGATATATGTACTGAGGGTCTCCATCAGTGGTGTGAACCATAGGTTTCACTGGAAACTTCTATTTTTGATTTGAAATCATTACTTCAGTAATGATTGTCCTCTTCCTGGACGATCAAGGGGGGTTAGGCGTGTGCGGACAATTCCAAGACAGAGAAATACCCAGGATTCCACAGAACTTTTTGCTTTTGGAGCCTTTCATTAATTCCTGGAGCTGAGCCACCTTAGTCAGCAATAGCCTTGGAGGATCAGTAACGAGGAGGACTTGCTTCAGGCACCTTGTTTGCACAAGAGAGTGAGGACCTGTGACAACTCGGGGACTTCTGGTGAGTTCCAGAAATCGGAGTCCCAGATCTGGAGTTCTGCACCCTGAGAGCCCATTAGGAACAGATGGGAAGTTAAGATCATTAGATATCTGGGCCTTGTCCCAGAGAGACTCTGACTTAAACTGGTGTGGGGACGAGGCACACATTTTGAGGGTTGCATTTATCATGGTGATTTATGCATAAAATTCACCATTTTTAGGTGCACAGTTCAATGACATTTAAGTATCTTCACATTGTTGTGCAAACATCACCACCAACCATATCCAGAACTTTTTCTTTCCTAAATGGAAATTCCACATCTGCTAAACTCCTCATTCCAGCTACCCCTCCACCCCTGAAGATGATAATTCTACTTTCTGACTCTATGAATTTGACTGTCCTGGGTACCTCCTAGATGCAGAACCATGTAGTGTTTGCCATTCTGTGACTGGCTGATGCCTTTAGAGTTCACCTATGTTTCAGAAATCCCCTTCTTTTTAATGTAGGATAATATTCTATGGCAGGCATGGGCCACGACTTGTGTATCCACCCATCCCTCTATGGACAGTTGGGTTGCTTCCACTTACAGTTTCACAGGATTGAAAACCTTTGGTGCAGGCAGCTGTCCTCTACGAGGTTAAGATGCCCACTATCTTGAAATATATTCCAAGGAACTATGGAATGGACTATGAACTCTAAGCTTAGAGAGACCAGAGTTCAAATTCCATGTCTTAACAGCTGTGAGAGCTAAAGTGAGTTACTGACATTTCTAGGTGCGGTATCTTCATCCATAAATTGGGGACAACAGTAACAGCACCTACTTCACATTGGAGCATTCAGTGAGTTAATGCACATGAAGGGTTTTAGCACTGACCCAGCACAGAGTATATGTTCAACAAATGTTCGTTTTACCGAGTTGCTACTCCCTGCGCTATTCTTATCCGAAAGCCGAGATCTTTGGGGTGCAACAGAATAACCTGGCTGGATCCAAATCTTTGAGGACCCAAGTTTGAGAAGCTGTTCTGGATGCTTCATAATCCAAGTCCCTGCACAGAACATTAGGAAGCCTGAATCCAGAGCTCATAATTCAATCTAGAACTAGGAAGAGGTGGCCTCTCCCAAACTACTCATTATTCTTTCTTTCCTCCTTAAAAAACATAGTTCAGAGATTAGTCATAGTGATGGCTGATGTTGCCACAACCAAAGAAAATATAATGAGACTCCGTGTCATTATATTGCCTCAAACAAGGTCAACTCTTGGCTTTTTGAATAAGAAGACAGTTTTATGCCCTCAGCAGCAATGACCAACAGTGTGGGAAGAACAACCCTTCTGTGCCATGTTGAAGTGCACCTCCATCGACCAGACATTCATTGCCCATGAGCTCAAGTGGGATGGGAGGGGGCCTGGGGCCATTGGAGTTGTTCAATACAGGTCAGGGCGGCCATGCTGACCACCTGACTTGGGGGGTACTTGGGTGCAAGCCATGAATGGGTCTCCACCAGCCCTGATCGCTTGTTGCCAGTCCGGTATCTCGTATGTGACCCCCTCCTCTGCAAACAACCATTTTTCCAGGGCTCCTAGGAGAGACCTTGAGTGAGTCCAGGAATAGGGGCTGCTGTCGGCTTGAACAACAGCTGAAGAGCCTCTTTCAGCATCAAGTGTGGGTGTGAACTCTCCTCTCCCTGCGAGTCCTCCTCTGGGTCTTGGAGAAGGAGCTGCTCACAGGGAAATCTGGTGGGTGAATGTAAGGCTATGGGGGAGAGACCAGAGCAGAGGACTTGAGGACACTCAGATTTAATTCTGAAGGACTTTCTGTGGCTGCACGTCTCCGGCTTTAGGATGGAGAGCTAAACAGAAGGAGTTCTTTTATTCCTTCACAACATGTCCACTGTAATTTTTTTTTTTTTTTTGGTATTTTTATTTTTAGTGGTGGTGCTGGGAATTGAACCCAGGACCTCAGGCAAGCTGGGCAGGTGCTCTACCACTAAGCTACCCTCCAACTCTCAGCTACCATCCTCTTCCTCTTCCAATTGGAATGGCATTCAAAGGGTTTCTTGGCAGAATCAACAGACTGAAGGGGTGGAAATGGGTTTTAGAGAAAATGCCTGGTTTCTAAATCTTTCTCTGAAGAGCTTAGAATGCAAAAGGTCCTTTTCCTTTCTAGAAAGGAAGACCTAGAATGACTCAAAATGACTTTAGAAACTTTAAATGGATCTTATTTATTCTTTTTAAAAACTACCAATGGAATTGGTGAACACGAAAGCTCTTAAATGCTTCAGAAACATACAGTAAGTAGTAAAGCTCTTCTCCTAATCTTATTTCTCAGTCTTAACAGTCTGACAAAGGGATTCTGTTTTTGTTCCCAAAACATGAATAACATTCTACCACACTGGTTCTGAAGCCCCCTTGCTCCCACTCTGAATGGGGTGGGCAAACTTCCAGGCTAGTGGGTCCCCATCTGACTCATTCCTGTCTCCTCCTCATTCCTGATTTAAGGTACTGAGTTACGTTGACAGGCTTCCTAATACTGCATCATTGTTGTATTCTTGGAAAAATATCTGAATTTTCCATGGTGCAATTTTTTCCTTTGCAACTTCTTATTTTTAAATAGCTTTAAACCTACAGAAACATCATGAGTCTCTCTTTCTCTCTCTCTCTCTCTTTTTGGATAGCAGGGATTGAACTCAGGGGCACTTGACCCCTGAGCCACACCCCCAGCCCTATTTTGTATTTTATTTAGAGACAGGGTCTCACTGAGTTGCTTAGCACCTCGCTTTTGCTGAGGCTGGCTTTGAACTCGCCACCCTCCTGCCTCAGCCTCCTGAGCTGCTGGGATGACAGGTGTGCACCACCATGTCTGGCTGCCCGTTGTCTCTTATGTGGTGCTTGGACATTGCCAGGAGTTTCTCAGCTGTCAATCTCATAATTTCACAAACTACCTGCTGTTATTTAGGGTGCCACGCACGCAGCCGGTTGCTGTGTCTGTTCATCCTGGCAAAATATGTTTTAAAAAAAGGGGGGGGGCTTTTAATTTCTTTCCAGTGTTTATTTTCTTCTGAGATGCAAATGAACATTCATCAGAGTATAGAACAAATGGGTTCTCAGGACACGCTTTGTAAGGCACTCGGGAATGTCCTGCAGGGCCTCTTGGCCACCCCCCACTCCCGGCCATCATCACAAACCCACAAACCTAACAGGAGCATCTGGGTCTTGGTCAGGGGCCATGAGCTGGTGAAGGTCACACTGACAGAAAGTGGGCCAGGTCCTCTCTCCTGTAGTAAATCTAATGATATCATGGTCACAGCATATAGCTATTTCGAGCTTATTTATACACCCCTCCCCTGGATGGACACACGATACCCAAATACCCACAGAAGGAAACTTGGTCAGGAGTCAGAAGTGAGGTGACTGTGTCTAGGCCAAGCCTCAGCAGAGAGCAGCAATGTGACTGTCCCTGCGGCGGCGACTCCTGGCTACCTGTTGGAGTACAGGCGGCTCCTGACAT